TCCCTGCAGAACCCTGAATAGCGGCAGTCGTGTGCAGTGAGCATGTCCACAACAGCCTGCAAGAAATCCTAACATAGTAGTATAGGGGTTATTATTAGGGTTCTGTAAGGATAATGGAAAAGAAAATGGAAACTACTGTTGTTTTTCCTTATGGGACCAATGTGGAGTTTCAGCTTTGAGCTCCTTCATCGTTCCCTGCTTCAAGGCGTTGGCCAGGCAGCAAAACGCGATAAAGATTGCATACTTCATTGCAAGAGCGAAGAGAACAACCCCAACGGGCTGGACCACCCTTGGCGCTGAGACCGATAAGGGCTGCGGCCATCAAATACAATTGAAGCGTCTGCAGCACCTGACTTCGTCATGTAAAGACATTTATGAGATGCAAAACTAGATCCACTATTGGGTGTGCACCCTTGCTCCATGTGAAGCTGCAATTGTCCCTGGGAACTCAATTCGTGCTGGCTGCAAGTACTGCTCGAAAGTTGGTAAGTTGGAACTGAACCCGTTCCATCCCTTCAGAGTCACGGTTTCTGCACTTGTTATTCATATCTTGCGATCGCGCTCACGTAAACTCGAGACGTAAGTGCTCACGCCATGTACTGCTGTCCTGGATGTATCTGCTTGTTGGGCATTGGGAATCTTGACCGACTTGCATGCTACAAATCGTTGTGTCAAGTAACTGCTGCCAAAACAAGAGTGTTCAATCCCATTTCAATGCTGGGAGTCAGTGCAAAGCCTAATTGTAGGATTAAGGAGGTCAGAGGGTTTAGTATGTGTTCTTGTAAGCCTGTAAAGCATGTACAGTTGTAAGCCCAACTACCCCAATCATAAACCTACTCTATTAATCTCCCTGACCCTTCAAGCAGCTACGTGGGAAACGTTCCCGAACTTCAGCCGCCAAGCCAAACCTGAGTGAAATGAAGGACTTGAACAGAAAATGTGGAAATCATCTTAGGAAAGAGCTAGCAGGGTTTAAAGTCGAAGGTGGCTAGCACGACTAGCAAACATTGGGGTTTAGCCAGCTAACGTTTCGGGTGTGTGTGGGTGTGTGTGAGTATGGATGCTAAGGGTGAAGATATAGGGTTCAAGGCCACGCTTGGGTTTCTAGGTCGGTCTTAAAAGTTCTGGTTACGCGGTTTCTGGCTTAAAGACAGCAAGGACAGCACGCCGTGTAGAGTTTGAACTTCAGAATTGATAGTATCCGGGGCTTTAAGAAACCTGTTTGAGAAAGGTTCAAATACCTTGTCGAGACAGCGTCCTTCAACAACTGGTATGGGAATGCTCTTTAAAGACAGCAGATCCAAGTTGCCTGGCCCCATCCCCCAAATACGTAAACGTTCTCCCATGAATTATGGTAGTTGGGGAGATTCACTTTTTTGGGTGGGGGTTTTGTTATTAGGGGATCTTGCAGACAATGAGCTTCCACAATACAAGACTTGCAAGGATACGCACCCGCTCCAGGTCTATCAGTCTAAGCCAAGGACCATCAGACAACTTTAAATCCCGAAAGTGCCTACCCGACCATGCTAATCACGTAGAATGGCCGCGCCGCAATATTGAAGTATATATCATTCATATCTTTTTAATGACCTAAATCGAATTAATGAGCGTATTTTCTATCAAAAATATATCTTTATAATTCATATTCATTCTCATCAAAAGTATTTGATATTTCTATACATATATATATATATTCTCATAAGAAATATTTTGAATAATATATATATATATATATCATATATTTATCTTATATGCTATTTGCTATTCTTTGCTGAAGAAAAAGATTCTATTTTAACTATCAAACTAGATTTCTATATTCCTCAGTATTTATTTAGAGATCTATATATCAAATGTCTTTGCACTGAAATCCAGAATCTTTTTTTTGAAGATCCGCCGCATATAATTAAATCTGAAATGCAATCAAGCTCATTGCACAAATATAGCGTAGTCATAGTCGTAACCTTAACTGGCATCGACGGAGGGGCACAAATACAAGCGAAAAAGACTGAAAATCAAAAATCCAAGGAGCCCGAACTGATTGTCCACGGGCAGCCCCCGTGGCAATTGTGATCGGAGCCAATGAGCCCGCCAATGCCGCCGCCACTTCCCCAATGGTACTGGATTTCGAGATACTTAAAAAAGTTATTTGGCCGGAATGTCAACCCAAATAAATTAACCTTGTTCTTTGTTTCTTATCGAGGAAAATTGTTGGCAAAAGCTGGCCTTCTCCGTGCGCATCTGGGCATCTGCCTGCGGTCGCTCCGTGTCTCCGCAATTGCTGGCGAGGTTTGCATCGTACTGGGTGCCTTATCTCAATCAAGTTCAGCACGCAAGTTCACGGCTTACTCCATGGAGTAGCCCGTGAATGAAAATTTATCAGCGCGCCTAGGCCGGATCCGAGATTGTATCCGCCGTTGCGATTTGTCGACAAGCGGTTGAAATCGTTTGTGTTCATCTCAGTATTCACGTAAAGGTCATCGACGCCATTGTGCGTGTTCTTGATCAATGGCTCCCACTCAATGAGGTGTCCGACATCGCCGCCTGTTGTCTCATCAGCCATCTTGTACCTCTTGCTGGTGTCAAGTCCACTGCTGCAGGTGTTACCTGTGGTGAACCAGCCGTGGAGCGTCTTGGTTTCCAAGAGCTTCCAGGTTCTCCATCCGAGTGCCTAATACACAGCATTTAACATCCTGAAACCCAATCTGATCTGAAAAGTCGGTACTTAAATTAACAACACCGTGCCATATGCGCCTTGCCCTCATTGTGGCAAACAATCAAAAGCTCCTTGGCCTCCTTGTTGCTGAAGACATCCGCGTCCTTCGAATTCTGTTACAGTGCTTTACTGCTTTGGGATGTTACTGCTAAACCAAAATCCTCAACTTAGAGTTCCTAATCCCTTTTGCCCTGGATCCTTGTAGTCCCGGCTGAAACGCTCCGACGTCTGATCACTGGCCCCTCCCAAGCCTGTAGCTGACTCCCAAAATTCAACATTCCTTAGTTGCTTGCGGCTGGCTTGCACTTTGAAAAGTTCAAGCTGAACTGAAAGGAATGGGTTATAGGAAGAAATCCAAAATTCAAAGTTGGGGCAGGCAGGGCCTCAGGAGGCACACCTCAAGCTTTAAAGGGCGACTAAAGACGATATAGGGTCTAATAATGCGTAATAGGGTTGCGATTTTGGGCGTGTTCTTTTTGAGGGTAATAAACATTGTGCCAAGAAGATTCGGGTAGGCCACAACGTTGCCATCGTTTGTGTCGATGTTGAGAGCCAGGGACCAGCTTCCAGAAGGCGTAGTGCCAAGCCCCGAAAAGTCCAAACCGGACACACCAGCAGACTGCCTGGGATTTTATGTCTAGACTTCCATGACGGATCA